TCTATTTTTGGAGCTTTGATCTGTTCTCTCATTTGGGCCATATTCCTTTGTCTCAGCACACCTGTTACATTGGAAAGGGCAGAGGCTTAGGCATTCATAAGGGTGGGGGCAACCCAGGTTGCTGTGTTGTGATGCAGTGTGTGGGGGAGGGATCGGAGAGGGAACAATGCCACTTGCTCAGCTTTCAGTCACTTCCCCACGTGTGCTACACACAGGCAAATTGGGCCCTTATAGTGCTAATTCCTGTGTGGGTGGGTTTGTGTACATTCTAGGACCCTGTGGGTTTCTCCAATGGACTCTCCTGTGAGGCTGGGAGTTTCTCTTGCCACCACAACCCTCACAGATTTTTACCTCCAGAGATTTTGAGGCTTTCTGTTCCCACACTGGAACCCTGGATTGTGCGGTCTGTCTTGCTCCCCAGCTGTTCCTCACAGTTTATCGGCACACAAACATGGGACCACCTGGTCTGCCAGCCACTACATTCTCATGCATCTCTCTGGCCTGGCTGTCCATCTCTGCCCCTCCTACCAGTCTGGATAAATGTTTCTTCTTTAGATCCTTGATTTTTGGACTTCCATACAGTTCGATTTTCTGGCAGTTCTGGGGTTTATTTTGTTTTTAAATTTGTTGTCCTTCTTTTGTTGTGTGAGGAGGCAAAGAGTATCTACCTACACCTCCATCTTAGCCATAAAGCTTCAAATGAGTCTTAAAATGGCCAAAGTTTGCATTATTTTAAATGTTCAAACCAGAATTCAAATTCAGGTTTTTCCACTCTCAGTGCCACACTGATGTGAGTGACCCAGTGTGCATTAAAGACCAGTATCATCAAGTTCATTCAAACAGACAACTTGATTATGAGTCAGCCTGATTTCTTGCTGTACTGGTTTCCAATGTACATTGCATTCAAAGAATGGTGCTGAAAGGACTAAATGAAAATCAAAGAAAAGCATGACAGGTATAACATGTACTGGGGGCCTCTTGAAACAACTATGTTTAAGAGTTAAAGATGCCAGAGTGTCTTGATTATAGAGATTGATTGATGCACACATCAATCAGTTCATTGTGAATTGCCTCCCTTTGGAGAATGTTCAAGGCTGTTTAAGATAACCAATAAATACATTTCCATTACTGATGAATGAACAAACTGTAGTACATCCACAAAATGGAATGTTATTCAACTATAAAAGGAATAAGGTACTGATACATGTGACAAGATGAATGAATCTCAAAAATGTTATGCCCAGTGAAAGAAGCCTAAAGGCCACATATTGTGTGATTCCATCTATATAAAATATCCTGAAAAGGCAGCTCCATAAAGACAGAAAACAAATTCATGGGTGTCAAGGGCTCAGTGAAATGACTGCCAGAGAATGGGAGCTTAATGCATATTTCCTCTTAGGGCAATGAAAATGTTCTGGAACTAAGCAATGATGATGATTATAGAACATTGTGTTCTATGTGATTACTAAACCCCACTAAAATTTATGCTTTACATTGTTAAAATTGTAAATTTTATTTTATTGTATTTTATCACCATTTTAAAAAATCATTGAATTAGAAAATAGAAAATTATAGTTGTATTCAGTTACTTTTTGAACAAAATAAAAACACATTAACTCTGACCAGCTTAATTTAAAAAGGGTGAAACACTAATGCACTAAATAAAAATTAGAATTCTGACATACATGTTTTTAAAAAGACACGGTATTGAAAACTTTAATGTAACGTGGTACCTTCTTATAAAGAGAAGTAAAGAAATGGTGGAATGTGGCTGCCGTCACCCAGACTGACTGCAGTTGATGAGAAATGTCTGCGGCTGCTGGTGCTGGCCATGACCCAGTGGGCAGGGCATGCCCAGCATGCAAGAGCTGTTAGCTGTGGATGAGGAATCTGCTCCTGCCTCTTAGTTTAGGACATCAAAGCCAATGGCACATTAACACTGGCTCCTGGAGACATAAACAGAAACTTCCTGTAAGCTGTCCCCTATGCAGCTGCTCTCCTTCGGAGCCCTGCTTCTCCCACTTAGCTGCCTCAGCATTCATTTGGACAGGAGTGTAGAAAGTGATTTCATCCTACCATCTTGCCTTTGCAAAAGTTAAAGTGTTTCCACAATAAATGGATTAAGAATACAACACCCAACTATTAGCAAATTGGGTGGTCAGAGAAGTTCCAAACTAGTTTTCAAGGCACTGGCACTACATGATGTGGCTTTGCTTACTGTAGGACCCGCTTCCAGCCCGGGTACTGCCTCACTGTCCTGGGCAGATGCTCTTATTACTACCTCCTCACATCTCTGCTCCTGTTCTTCTCACACCAAACCACCTCTCCTGCCTTCACATTTAAATCCTGCTCTTCCTTCGAGGTCCAGCTCAAGCCCTTTGTCTTAGTGTGGACACCACGCCATCTTTTTTTTTTTTTTTTTTTTTTTGCATTTTGTTTTTGTGCCTGGGAATTCCATCTCCCTCAATTAGATAACAAATTCTCTCTGATGATTGGAACGTCTCCTTATAATTCAAGGGTGCCCCACAACCATGAGCAGCTTTTGCTGTCTTCCATGCATCCTTTCCCCTCTATTCTAACAGCTCCCTGGTTTTCCTTTGCCGGGCTAATTCATCAGTGGTGGGATCAGGGCAGACCTGTGAATTAAAGCAGACCAGGAGACTCATCAGTCCTGAGGCTTCGGTGGGAGCTCTTGGCAAGGGACCCTCTTTCTCCATAAGATCTAAACTGATAGGAGCCACTGGGGACTATTGTTGTCAGCTCTTGTGATTCTTGTCTGAGAATGAAGCCACACAGAGGAGAGCAGAGCCAGGAGAAGAGTCCTGATGGCTTTGTTTGAGGCTCTGGATTGTAACTGCCCTTGATGCCAAAGCTTTTTTTAGTTATGAGTGCCAACAACTTTGCTTCTTGCTGCTGGCTGGTTGCTTCCAGCTGAAAAAAACGTTATTGTACCTCTCAACATTTACCCTGGGCACAGGGTAGGTACACACACACACAAATGGGTCTACTTGTTTATAATTTGTTTGCAGCTGTGTCTAGGGTCGTTAAGCAGAATATTTTTTGCATTACAACATTGTTATTGTGGTAAAACATAAGGTTTACCATTTTAATCATTTTAAGTGTAGAGTTCAGTGTCATAAAATATATTTCTATTGTCATACAACCATTACCACTATCCATTTTCAAAACTTTTTCATAACCCCAACAGAAATCTGTACCCATTAAACAATGACTCTCATTTTTCTCTCTCCCTACCTCCTGGTAACCATTATTTTATTGTGTTGGCCAAAAAGTTTGGTTTTTTTCCCATAAGATGGCTCTACTAGAGCTTAGCTGTCTTTAACCTCATTCAAAACAATTTTGTCAGATTGTATTGTGACAGCTGTCTCTGCATGTATTTTTAAACTTATCAAAATTGGTGAATTTCTGTGTAGCCATTTTAATATTGAAGATGGAAGAAAATACACATTTTCAGCATATTATGCTTTGCTGTTTCAAGAAAGGTAAAAATGCAACCGCAATGTGTACACTACATGGAGAAGGTGCTGTGACTGATCGGGTATGTCAAAAGTGGTTTGCAAAGTTTTGTGCTGGAGATTTCTCACAGGACGATCCTCCACAGTCAGGTAGACAAGTCAAAGTTGATGGCGATTAAATCAAGACATTAATAGAGAACAATCAGTGTTTACCACACAGGGATAGCCAACACTCTCAAAATATCCAAACCAATAAAGTTATTGGTGAAAATGAAAAATGTCTTTTATTTTATGGCACATTAGTTAAAAAAAACTAAACTGACTTTCTGGCCAACCCAATGCTTTTTATAATCTATGAATTTGGCTACACTAGGTCCCATGTAATGGGGCAAAAGTAGGTTTACAGTTGTGAGTGCATGAAACAGTTTATTCTTATATAGTATTGTATTATTTTCCCTATGAATAACAGTAAACCTATTTTTGCCCTACCCAGTAGAACCGGAATCTTACAATATTTGTTATTTTTGTGAATTGCTTATTTCATGGAGCATAATGTTCTCAAGGTTCAGCCATGTGGTAGCATGTGTCAAAAATCTCTTTTTCTTTCCAAGGCTGAGTAATATCCTCTAATGTACAGACCACATTTTATTTATCCATTCATCCATCAAGGGATACTGGGGTTGATTACACTCTGTTGTTAAAAAATGCTGCTATGAACATGGGTATACAAATGTATGTTCAAGTTTCAGCTTTTAATTCCTCTGGGCCTATAACCCAGGAGTAGAATTGCTGGATCATATGATAATTCTTTTTAACTTTTTAAGGAATCATCATATTGTTTTCTACAATAGCTGCACCATTCTACATTCCCACCAACAGTGCACCAGCGTTCCAATGTTTCTACATCTTCCTCAATAGTTGTTGCTTTCCATGTTTTGGAAAATATTCAAAGACGAAACTGTAGTAATGCTGGGAATAGCACTTATTCTATTAGCCTACCTAGAGAAGAAGAAAACTGTTGAGTTAATGAAACATTAAAGTTACGAGATTTGGCTGAAAATAGTTCTTTGTGTGTTCTTGGAAGCCTCATGCCTTTATAGACTCCTACTCTATCACATACATCTCATCGTCAGGGACAGAAATGCCTGTTCTGGAGTTCCTGGCCACTTCTTCTTTACCAAAGAGGAGAGAGGGACAGAGGCTGGGCAAATTTTGACTTGTGGATAGCCAGTTTCCTCAAATCCCCATACCCTCCTGTTTGGCTTTTTCAAGAAGAACAAAGTCACCTTTTATCTCTCCCAGGACACTCTTAAGAGTACAGTGAAACTACATCATCCTCATCATGAACTTAGCACATTCTCTATTAGGTATGTTAGCAGCTGTGCCTTTTCACAGGAACTCCCCTTCTGTGAGATCCCCTGGTTATGGCAACTTTCTTCTCCAGCCCTTAGGAAAAGGTGGAGGGCATGTGAAACATGAGATCTGGGAACAGGCTGACATGTTGTAAAGGTTTTATTTCCACTTCATCATCGTCTCATACAGACTCCGAGGCACCATCCTTTGTTTCAATTTGGTATTATCATGATTTTTGTAGTATTTTTCCTTAAACAGAAAATTTTGAGTAAACACTGCATATAGCCAGTTAATCTTTTAACAATAATTTAAAAAGCCATTGCTGTTGTATCATCAATGCAAGAAGACAACAGAAGTACAGTACGAGGGAATTCACAATGTATCACAATGGGATAGACGACTCACTTAGGTGATGGAGAGACCACAGTAGCAGTATGTACATGCACCCCAGTGCTTCGAACCCGAAGACGTGCAAGTCGAGTAGAATATGTGGATTATACAAGAACTTGGTAAGCCCAGCTGAGGACTCTACTTTTTCCAGGATGCTGACACGTATCCCTCCAGGCTACAGGATCTCTGCCTTGTCTACTGGTTTCATGGCTTCTTCACTACAAAGAGTTCATGGAATCAGACAGTCTGAAGTTTTCAGGAATTCTTAAAAACAAAAAGCACTGACAAAATAAAATTAACTTAAAACACTCTAAGTCAGTATGGAAATAAATCCAACCAAAATGTAACAGTGCAAATTTAACAGAGAGGCAGTCAGTATTGAGAGCGAGGGTGTTCAGAATCTCTTAAAATGTGCATCTTTAAAACTTTTATGTTTTAAAATTTATATCTTATTTAACTTTTTGTTTAACATTCTGCGTGTAAAAAAGATGGAGACAAAAATAGTTTTCTGAGCTATGAAAAAAATTAAGTTATTACAGGCACATTTACTGTTTCATTCTAGAAACATCTCAGGTTCACAGGTTGAACGTTCAGCAGCTGTGTTTTTCTTTAAAACATTCTTTGACCTTGGGAAAACTAGATCTCTCCTTTTGGGCAGAGTTTTGTTGATGACGATGGTGTGGTTATGCAAATTACAGTGAATTATTCTGTGATAATCCATGCAAACCTGCATCATGTCACAGGTGTGGCTTCTCCCCGGGTGGCTCCTCATCGCCAAGATCCTCCAAAGAGGTCAGGTCTTCGACTGACTGAGTCGGCAAGGCAGTGGGGGAATGTGGTGCCCAACGGGATGGAGGGCGACGGTTTGCTGGTCTCTCGGGCCTGGAGAAGCAGGGTTCTAGGGATGGAGCTAGTGCGGAACAAGGTAGTTCCTTCAAAGCCAGAAAGAGAAAGACAGGGTTACTCGGTTATTCAGTTACTGACAGTTCTTCCAGGGGGTGATTTTCCCCAAACACACTTCTTGACAGACTCCAGTTAATGCAATAGACATGGGGCAACTTCTGAATGTTAATTTATATTTTGCTCACAAAGAATAACTTAAAATGCTAAGTTAAGAATTCAACATGAATGATCAGTGATGACAGTAATGGGAAGACATCAAATTAGGATTTAAAAAAATGGCAAAGCTGTGAGATGGGTGAGTTTATAGAGCAACGTCAGAATTGGGCTGGAGCGTGTGGAAGGCGGAGTAAGCCACAGGCTACACGTGGTCTCCACAGGACATGAGGTCACATTCTGATCCAGCTGATCCCTCCATTTGGGCCCTCCTGAATGACCTATTTAATGACAGTGACCAGTCCTAAGAGGACAGCCTCCCTATGTCTTGGTCTGCTGAGGACCCATGATTTCATCCAGCTGTATTAGAAATTAGATTCACCTTAAAACAAACTCTGCTACTGTTTATTCCAAATTGACTGGCAGTGAGTTAAACAAACTCCCACAACATGAAAAAATGCTGCTGGCAGAACTTTTAATTTAGGTCTAGTTCTCTTTAAAGACTCTTCCTTGTAGCAGCATTTAAAGAAGTGAAATCAGAGTGCGCTTGTGCTTTCATGTTGCAGGCATCCCGCACCTTCTGAGAACAGATAACGCACGACACCGTTCACCATGGTGCCAATCGCCTGTAACACCTCTTCTCAATGGCCACTGCTCCTTTTATGGTTTTAAAGAACGTTGAGCTACTTGTCCTTAGTCTCCAAGATAGAAAACAAGGACGCCCAAACTTGGAATTTGCTGGCACAGAGAAATGTGAAAAGCTGTGTTGTGAGGAAATGGTGAGTTCTACAGGTGGAACCTGTCTCTGCCCAAATGACAGCCAGACAACGAAAAGCTGAGATGGTAAACCACCTCATTGAAGGATGACAGAGCAAAGACCTTCAGGGCCAGTCAGGAAGTAAGTCAGAGGATTTAAAGAGAGGTGACAAGCAACTTTAAAGATCAGAATGAAGAACATTTTGTCAGCAGAGCAGGGGAGCGACACAGAGAAGAGACAGTTGAAGGATGATGTGACTAACAATGTGACAAAGAAGATGGAAGGCAGAACAGGAGAGTGATGGAGTGAGCTGGTTGCCTCCCTGCGGGGTTAGCAGAAAAGGAGCATTAACACTGGAGACTACTACTTAACTTTCCCTGCCTCTTTTGTGGTTGGCACTTTGTATGCCAATGGGAAGCCCCAATCAGTAAAGCATTTATGCTAACAAGAACCTTGAGACCAGAGATACCTGGACTGAAAAAGCACTGCAGGTCTGAAATAGTTGGAATGTGAACTAACGTGAGTGGTGAGCTGTGTCCTTACCTCACCTCACCTCAGCTGTTTTGTGTTTTTCGATGTCATTGTTCTGGTATTTTAAGACTCTGTGTGCTCCTGTATGAGTGTGTGTTGTATTGCATGCAAGTTTGTGTGTGCTGGTAAGGCTGCCACTATAGGTTGATTCGACACCACTGCAGCCAGTGTCTGCTTGGCCGATGCTGGAGGAGAATGGGCTTCCATTTAACTTTATGCCATTTCTTCACTAGCATCTGTTTGGGAACTTCTATAGGAAGAAATGCCGTGTGACCATACCAGCACATAGAGGCAAACCATGCTGTCCTTTCCCGAGAGGATGCTATGGTGGGCTATGTGGGTATTTGCTCCTTGGAGGACCTCTTTAGTCTTTGAGAGACAACTGTATTTTGGTACTCAGCACTTAAGAGTTGAGATCAGTGAATGAGGTAGATGGGTAATTATATCCTTTATTAAAAATAAAGCTCCTATTTTCTCTCATGTGCCTCGGTTTGAGTTCTGTTCAATTCTGAGAGCATATTTTTTGAAGCAGGGATGACTTTGCTGTTTATTCAATTAACAAATATTTATTGAGCACTTACTAGGTCATCTATGGTGATCACTTGGAAGGACAAAATGTATTTGCTTTTATTCCTTCTGCTGTGGTTGTTGAAAGGGAAAGAAGCCTCATGGCATTATGGCCACACCTGATACAGCCCTTGGTAGTAACACATGCCACCAAATGCCAGCAGCAGGTCCAGGCTGAGTGCAAAAATGCTTGGCTCTAAGATTCCCACACGCTAGAACTCCGTGCCAGAGGCAGCAGAAGTCTCAGCAGGATCTATAACCTGAGAGCCTTTCTGTGCACTGAGTGGTCAATACTCAGCAGGAGGGATTGTCCAGGTCATCAATCTGTCCCTGCAGACGGACCCAGAGCAAGTGTGGGCGGCTGCCTTACAGAGCAGATAGACTTGGGATGATTCCGCCTGTTTCTGAGTGTCAGATGCCAACCCCAAGTTACACAAATGACCTCTCCAGACAGTTTGGAAAGAAGAATGAAAGCACTTACGGCGTGAGGCAGGCAGGGCTAGAGTCCCCAGGGGGCAGTTAGTAAGACAGTTTGGTTCTGGACAGCACAGACAGAGAAAGAAAAGAAAAGCAAGTAGGTTGAAAAGTATTTTTAAAAAAAGGACAGTAAAAGTTTAACATCAACGAGCCAGGTGCCAGCTCCCAGGACAGCTATCAGGGGCGTGAGCTCCAGCTGAAGCAGCATGTGCGTTCTTGGGACACAAAGACCCTCCTCAGCCTTGTCTAGATGCGGGAGGAATCCTCAGGGTGGGACAGCAAAAGGCCTCTCCCTTCTGATTTCTATACTTTTCTGAGTTGCTCTTTGGCTTCTAACATTTCAAATGCCCTTTGGCACATGGAGAGACAAGTCGCAGGAGTCTTGTATCTGAAATATCATAGAGCAGCCTATTTGTTTTAGTCATGATGATCAAGTGACCGCTGCTCATAAGAGTTTCTCCTCCCATTTTCCACTTAGACATGGGAGAGAATAGAATTACATTTCCAGATGATTCTCATTCTCTTCACACTGGAACTCCTTCTCACAGCTTCTGTCTGCTTCGCTGCATTGGTGCTATGGCTTCAAGAGAAAAGAATGGTAGCTTGCGGGTGAGAGGGGATGTGCTGCTGCTGTGCAGGTCCTAGCCAGGGTGCCGGCATCACCCACCTATATGCTTGAGTGAGCCTTCACGGAGAGTCCACGCAGGACACTCACAGCAGGCTGGGAAGTCAGAATTACTTCTGGTGATTTTGGAATGAAAACCCAGAACTACCACATAATTTATGGAGTGATAAGAAGGGCTCTCCAGTTGGCCTAATACAGTAAGTCCATGCAGACAAGGAATAATTCCATTGGAATCTACAACAAGCAAAATTCTAACAAAAAAAATGAAAAAGAGCCCATGACATTGAAACATTGCCCCCTGAAACTGTGCTCCCTTTAAATTGGCCCATCATCTCCCATGGTAGCAAATATACCAAGTGAGAAGAAAATCTAAATAAACACCAGAGAGCCAAAGGAGGTGGTCACAGCTTTGTACAGATAAAACCATTTTCACACCTTAGAACTGTGATTCAGTCATTAAACCATTTTCTTTATATTATCATAAACTGCTTGGAGCATTTAACTCAAAGTACTTTTTGGTTCCTAAAAATTGCTTGCTATTTAGTCTCTAATATAAACGGACATTACAGACACATCCAGTTAATGTTTCAGGACAAAGCCCTGATTTCAACGGATTCCTCCAGAGCTGTGAAAAGCAGGCATTCACACAAACAGACCCTCCACAACAATGAGTCACTTACCTGAGGGCCCACAGAAGACACCATCTGTCACCTGAGAACACTCAACCACAGTATTTGTTCTTGAGCATGGAAACCAGTTTGTCACAAAGACTCGCATCTTGGAACATGTGGACCATGTACTGTCAAGATTGGGTTGAACCACATGGCATTGCCACTGTTGTAGGTCACTGGCAACTTCACATGGTTTAACCTATTTCAGATTTAAGCTCTGTATTTTGAGTTAGATACCACTTGGTGGGTTAGACTGGGAACCTGACCATTGTTGTTCCCCCTGTGGGAAATGCGGGACAGAATGTAGACATATACCTTTTTCCTCTCCTCATGAAGCCCTGGCCATGCAGGTGGGAAAGCGGTGGGCAGCTCAAGGAGTGTACTTCTCTCCTTCTCCCCAGCCCTCGCCATCTGCGGGGCCGCCCCACCTAGAGATACGCTGTGGCTGTCTGGGTTCCACTGTGTGGACTTTGTCCATCAGGCTACTGGTGGGTCGGGGCTCACCTTCCAGTCCACATGTGGGACCACTCCCGAAGACCAAGGGCTGGGGACCACCTTCAGCGCTGTGGGGGCTGTGAGGCCGGCATCACTACTCCTTTCACCTCTGGCTCTGTCGTCGGGCTGTTTTATTTTGCTCATTCTTAAAGTGGAAATGGGGATTGTTTTTTAAAAGTGGTGTGGTACAAACATACCACGTGTGTATATGCATCAGAACAGAATTCAAGGTTGACTAATTTGGGAATATTCTTAATAGGGATATTATAATAATTATGTAATGTAATAGCGTGATGTGTTGGAGAGTGATCATCACAGTGTATGAAGGCAGGGTTTGGAATGCATGTTTGAATTGAGGCCAACACTGGAATCCAGCCATTGCAGTTCCTTGTGAGCGTCAAAGCCCTCTCCGGCACACCTCTCGTGTGGTCCCATGTGAAGACCTGGAGCATTCATGCAGCTCTGACACGACTCTCCCATAGTTCACACACATGCATTCCTATTCATCCAGAAAGATGGTAAGTTATGACTGCAAGTGAAAAGCTCAGATAAACAGATGAGCATCCATCACTTAGACCAAGGAAAAGAACCTGAATCACTTTTAAGTAGCTCAGGGTTCATGTTTCTGTCTGTTCCATTCTCCCATAAACCCAGTATCTCCCCAGCTCATGAGAATTGCTCATGGACCAGAACTCTTGAAATCAAATGACCTAGTACAACCCCAGGTTCAAACTTGTTTCCCCAACATGTGAATGGAAGAGCTGGTAGGGTGAGGGTGTGGAATACTCAGCTTTTATTACCTCGATGGACCCTGGCTCGGCTTTGACTGTTTCTCCCATGTGGCTGTCACTGTTAAGACTTGGAAGGCTGTGGGGGGCCTGCCTCCTGTCCTCCTTTAAGGCATGCTCCAATAGCTTCTTGTTGAGGATCCGAGCTACGCTCTCGGTGAATGTGTAGCCAGGGGGAGCGGATAAGTCCTGCCTCACAGGTGTGCCCTCTCCCCCTTCCTCCCTACAGGTCTCTGAGCCAACCCCAATAGGGCTGGGTGACTGTCCCCGGGAATTGGGGCTGGTGTCCTGGCCTGGGCCCAGCTCTGTATGGGGCTCTGCCGAGCGAGACCGACTCCCAGCCCGCGTCCCCTTCTGGAAAGGGTCCTGCACCACGGGGCTGTGGTCAATGATGTTGAAGAGGCTGGAGAGGCCATCGTTGATGGCGGTGTGCACAGGGCTCTCCCGCGTGGTAGTGGAGCGGGCCCAGGCTGACTCACTGCACCCCTTCTGGGCCAGCCCTGGAGAGGTCCTGTTATTTGGCTGGTCAGCTTTGGGGAGGGGCTTCCTCTGGAGCTTGGGAGACCCATACTTGGGGGAGCAGCATGTGCGTTCGAACTTGGCCTGAACCTTCTCGATGGCAGGGGCCACCTGCCTGCTCCTAAGGCCACGGGATGGAGATGATGCAGGTGTGGCACCACCCCCTGCCTTTGGCGTCAGACACTTGTGGGGGCTGCTGGTGATGGCACTGCTGCTGCGCAGGGCTTCGGTCTGCAGGCCGATGCTGATGGTCTGGACAGTCTGTGTCCCAGTCGTCCGGGACACATTGGTCTGACAGGCCATGTCCTTGACTGGGGGCTCAGGGGAACTAGAGCAGATGGTATTCCTGACGGAGAAGGCCACCTCCTTCATGTCATCACTCATGTTCTTGGACATCTCCAGGCTGTGCAGTGGGGAGGTGAAACCCAGGGGGTTGCAGAGGGTGCTATCGAGGGGGCGCAGCCCTCCCTCCCCATAGTCTCGGGGGTGCCTGGAGGGGGCACAAGGCCACTTGCTAAACATGTGTTCTGAGGGGCCCCCCTTCGCATCTCCTGTGCCCCCTCTGGCTCTGCTTGTAGAAAATGGACCCTCGGCCTCCAGCCGGCCCAAACCCTCACCACCGGCCACCATGATGTTGTCCATCCTGCGGACCGCAGGTGGGCTGTGCAGCACCCGCACCCCGGACGGCTCAGTGCGGATGTGGCTCCGCAGGGGCTGCTTCTGGCAGTGCTCTGGGCTGGTCATGGTGTCCGTGGTCATGGTGACGCTTGTGGTGAGGTACCAGGAGGAGTCTGGGAAAGGCTCGGCACTGGCCTCGCTTCCTGCTCGCCCCGCCTCGGTCCTCTCTGCCCAGGAGTCTGGGGGCCTTGAATCCCAGCTCTTGCTGTTGAACTCCTCGATGTACTTCAGATCATCAGGGGACAGGGGTGGAGTGATGTCCTCCTTGCTGCTGGCAGCGGGCAGGCCTTTCTCTGGCAGGAAGGGAGAGACGTCCATCAGGCGCTGGAACTCAGACATGGAGGACACGGACACAGCCCTGGGAGAAGAGGGAGGAAGACATGTCAGCTGCCTGCCACCCGGAAGCCTGCTGGCCTGTGTCTCCAACCCAGCACAGCACGTGTGGCCTGCCCACCAGAGAAATGCCTGTTTCGTGTCAGTCTCTACTAGAACTGTTAGAACATTCTCCAGCTGCTTGATGTTCTCCACTCCTGCGCTGACACTGTGGATGTTTAATAGGCCTTTCATGGCTCTGGAATTGTTCCAGGAGCCTTGCATTGTTCAGAATGTAATACAGTCAACCCTCAGACACTGTGGGAACAAGTGGAAGGGTGGGTTACTGGGCAGGCACAGCTAAGCTCCTAACCCACTTTGGATGCTTCACTTTAGCGTGTGGAGCTCCACAAGAAGATGGGAACCTGGCTGTGGCCTTGCTCTCCATCTACTGTTCTACTGACCAGTGCCTTCATCAACTGCCTGGGAACTTCCTGAATTCCAAGCATTATGTCAAGTGCTCATGTGACCGACATGAACACACCGGTTTGATCCAAAACCAGGAGGGTGGGGAGGGAGACACTACAACAAAACAACTATAATCTGAAGTTTTTTCAACCTATTGGTTTCGTCCTCTATTGAACTGAAGTGCTAACATCTCCAAAGGCTAAATGGACAATGTAACGAGGCTGGCAAATAAATTTCCAAATACCATTTCAAACAGAAATTTCCTCTGGCCCTGCCCAAATCCACCAGCAGGACTCAGTTCTCCTCTCCCACCTCTGTTTCCTCCTTTACAGTTGAGCCTTCTCTTTGTTCTTGCTCCTCCTGGATTTTGGGGTAAAAGGAAGATGCCTGCAGGCACATGCACACAATGGAGGGTAAAGGCAGGTGAGCTAAAGCAACAGCCAGTTTTGGGTAAGGCCCTGCCTGACAGACATGGATTTAGATGTAGGTTTTTCATTGTATCAGTACTTTAATTCAATATATTTCTATTTGACATGAATTTATGGACTGCTTCCTATAGGCTAGGGCAGGGGCTAAGACTGGAGGTTGCTGAAGTGTGCAGGCTGCTTGTCAGCCCACCCAGGGCAAAGAAGTGGTGGCCAGGAAGGAGGCTTGGGGCTGGCTCTGCCTGCTGGCTCAGGCCCTGGACTCTCTGGCCTGGAATCCCTCCAGATGGGGTGGTGGCGAAGTGAGGTGAATGCAGACTCACTGTCTCTGCAACTAGAACACTTTCTCATAGGACGTATTAATAGCCACCGACTCCAAAGACAGGCTTGAATACCTAGGGCTCTGGTATTCAGACCAGCCGAGGCCCTGACGAAGGGGTCTCCAACGAAGTCCATGGGCCTCTCCACTGTAGGACCAATTAATGATGGTGAGGCCAGTACTGGGGTTCGTGTATCACATGGACTGGCCCACAGAACTAGCAAAGCTCTTTGTGGCTTTGCCCACACAGCGGGGTACATGCTCTTGTGACCACTGTCATGGGATAAAAGACCAGTCTACAAATGCCACCGTTAGGCTTTCCATCTTGTTATTCCTTACTGGAGGCAAAAGTCAGTGGCATTTTGTTGTTGTTGTTAGAAATAATCTACAAACTGTCCCATGCCTCTGAATAACAGAAAGCTGACTATAACCAGTGCTGGAAATAAATGTCTGGGTTGATTTGCGCTAGGTCTTAAGCTTCAGAACGCGGGGGCTGGAGCGCTCTGCTGATGCTGCAGTCCTGACCCTCCCACACTTCTTGGATATAGCTCATCTAGCCCCCACTTCTGCCCACAGGGGAGCTACTCACAGTGTCAAATCACTGGCGCCTATGTGGGGGCTTTGCCTTTAGGGCTGCGATAGATATCGTGCAACACAGACCATGTAGACAGAGAAAGGAAAGGCATCAACCTTGGCAGCATCCAAAGTGAAACAAAATAACTACAAAAACCAGGATACATATGAAACATGTGCAGGCATGTCAAGATGCATAGAAGAAAGTATGGAGGGAGCACATGAAGCTGCTAGAAGTGAGAGGGGAAGGGAATGGTGGGGAGGACACGTGCACTTTCTTACTTTGGACATTTTGGTATTGTTTAAATTTTATAAGCATGGATTAGATTTTAAATTAACAGAAACAATTAAGATAAAAAAATAAAAAAAAGCTATCATTCACAGAGGAAATCTACTAAGAAAGGAAGAAAGTGGGAGGATGTAATGAGAGCTAAACATGTTTTACTGTTTATTCTATGCCAGGAATTGCTTTATGTGTAACACATGTAAGCTGTAAAAATAATCTAAATACCTCCTGCTCAAAGATGAGAAAATTGAGGCACAAAGCAGTTACAAAACTCACCCCTGGTCACACGGCTAGTGAGAGGCAGAAGTAGACTTGAACTCAGGCCATTTGGCTCTTGAGCCTGAGCTCTCAAGTGCTGCCCTGTACCATCCGAGAAGGAATAGACAAGACAGAGCTTGAAGGAAAGAAATGTACCAGAGGCAGTTCTAGGTTTTGGATTAATCTGATAAAGGGGAAAAAGGGAAGGAAATAGTAATTCATGAACTCAAAGTTCATAGAAAAACCAGGGTTGAGAAGATCTGAAAATACTGAATGGCCCAGAGAAGAAACGACATGTAGTAGAAATGGTACATATTCAACTATAGAGAAGAAGACTGTGTGTATCTGTGAGTGTGGATGGTGTGGGTTGGGGAGTTGTTATGAGAAATCTCTGTATGTTCCCCTCAGCTATATATTTTAAAGTTTACATTAAAACAAAGTTGCTTATATCTGTCTTTTCAGAAATGTCGTATTACACATACGACCTAAAACACATGATTACTAGCATCAGCAACGTAGACTACTTTATATCTACTTCAAAGATTACTGCCAGGAAATATTTTAATAAATCCTACCCATAGAGCTTTTAAATATATAGTATCATGTCTCATAGCCTATCAAAAGGGAGTTTTTCCAGACTTTAAGTTAGAGGAGTGGAGTTCTCACAGACTTTTCAAAAACCACTTAGCACAATCATTCCTTTATATACACAATACACAACAATAATGTCAAGGGTCTTACCCTAACACTAACACACAAACACAGCACACCTCTGGCCTTTTTGTTGTTAATAATAAAAAAATATCATATTTATTAAATTAAAAATAAAGCAAGTCCTATTCAGAAGTCTTATTTTAAACTTATTTTCAAGAGTATAATAACAGGCCGCAGTGACAAGCTAAAATTTTAAGACAAGAAGATTTTATTTCAGACATCCACTATTGTTTTCATCAATCTCACTTACCTTTGAAGATTTCCCTTGTGATTTTCTTCTTCCTATAAAGAAGACATAAGTTCATCTGAATCAGTGAATGTTGGTTGCCTAGGAGCTTTCATTGTGCTAAGTGACGTATTTTGCGCTCTTGCCCTAGGGTAACACCACTGAAAATGCACACAGAGCCAGGTTTGGTCCAGAGTGCTACTGCCCCTCAGCCTTTGAAGTACAGTAATAAAACCATAACCCACAGGGTAACAAGGGGTTGGAGCTTCTGCAGTCCAGAGAGGAATCCATGTGAGAAAAACTGGCTATAAACTGTGTAAACTTTGTCATGGAGGAAGTAGTGCTCCTGTGCTTCTTCAAAGAGCTTTGCTGACTACATGAGTTTCAAACCTGGCTCTGTAATGACCTGAATCCATCTGTGTGCACATGTGTGTGTGCACATGAGAGAGAAAAAGAGAGAGAGAGAGAGGTGGGAGAAAGGAAGATGAGGACGACAGAATAAGTTAGGAGGCTGATGTCCTTTGGTCTAAGTCTCGCTATAGAAGTTGGTTTGATATCCTTAAACTTGAATAATTTCTTAATTTTAAACATTGTCATTTGAAATCAGAGATGAAGTTACAGTGACTTCTGCTTAAGAAGAATGATAGCTGCGCTGGTAGAGAGCATCAAGACGGAGTGACTTGAGAAAACACCCTCGAGCTGACAAGGTATCGAAGAAGGAACTAGGATCCTAGCAAGCCCTTGATAAGGGAAGTGTATTTGTTGGCAGGTTAAACAGCCCGGTGTGCTTCCCCCAGTGAGTATGGCCTGCCATGCAGATCAGAACAGGGTCCAGGCCCTGACCCTGGGCTGCCTTCTTGCTGCTGTGAAATTGGACGATGTGAGACTGCCAACAGATCAGCGTGGCATACTGGTGATGTCACATCGACTGGGTGTCTATTGCTAAGGAGAAGGCACCTGATCTCACTGACATGTCACTGAGTATAATTTCCCCATATTTCAACAGTACTATTGATGTGAACTCCACTCAGTCAATTAAGTGCTTGGGACAAGTTAAATGTCAGGTATAGCAACTGTTAAATGGACTTACAGGTAATGATTCCTAAACTCAATTTTTAAAACCCAGTTTTAAAAAGGGCTTAATTAGAACATAGCTGCCTATTTGCTCCCTACCTTATGTAAGTTTTCTAAGTGCTGGGTTGTTTTCCCTTTGCGCAGAATAAGGTATTTAGGTATGCCATTGTTTAGTGACATTTGCTACTTCCAAATGTCAGGTATTTTCTTTAGAACGGATTTTTTGTTGTTGTTGTTGTTAATAAGTTTTCTAGAATCAGAAGACTGTGCTATGATTTTAAGTTAAGCTGAAGATCTACAGTTTCCCCCTGTGTGCTTCACTGGACATGCCATTTGTGAGACCTTTCTGTTTACATAGGACATGAGCCCTGTCTTTCCAAACCTGAGACAAAGTGGCAAAGTAAAACTGACCACAGCGCAAGCTAGGAGTTTGGGGTCAGGGCCACGAAGCAAAGCTCTTGGCATTGTGAAGCTTTCATTTTTACTTAAGCCCTCGAGCCTGCCTGCCACGTGGCAGGTTTCCCAACCCCTTGGTCTTGCAGTGGTTTAACTGGATCCAAACACCCGGGCCGACCTCAGGGAGGCAGTTCCTGAACTCTCTCTGGGGCCCGTGGGCTGGAGGCTCATCTGGCTCTTCCTCCAAAGACAAGGCATCCAAGTAGAGGTTCTCCCGGGCTGAACACCTGTCCGATTCCTTCAGCTTGGAGAGCGGCCGGTCTTCAAAAGGGGTAGAGTCCGGGTCCGAGCAGGGCCACATCCCCATAGGTCGAGGCATGCGGGGGCTTCCCGGGGGAGCAAAGGGGCGCATGTTGCCTTCTTTTTGATCACAGAGGAAATTTCCACCTCTCCGGGGACTGTTTTCTTTCTGCAACTTGAGGGTTTAAAAATCAAAACAAGTAATCTCATTTTTCTGTCTGTTGCTCTCCTAAGACCATAGTCTCTCCACAGTTTGGAATTACAGATGAGTCCATCTGTAAATCCACAGCTCTCATCTCAAAGACCATGAGATGTAAATATTCTTTAAGTTCTGACCTCGATTTCAAAATGTTAATCCAACATTACAAATGCTGTAAAAACAAACAAACAAACAAACAAACCACACTTTTGTTTGAACTGAAAATCTGCATTTACCATGTGAGCTAACACCTCCTGACAAGAATCTATGTTATTGTATATAACTGAGTACTGTGCTCACAGGAAACTATACATTTATTTTTTAAAGAAAATCTAACATTAAACAACATATTTAGAACCCCTTTTTTTGTGTAATTACATTCAGAACTGAAGGTATACTCAGTGGAAAACCATCAATGACAGCAAACTTCAGAGGGTGAATATTTTATTAACTAGCAGGGTTTCCTAATCATAGAGTATTATTTCCAAATCATGTGGGAAGGGTCTTTTATATAACCCAAATGATCAAACTCTTACAACCACTGGATGTCAAAAACACCTTATACTTTGAGAGGATTGAAACTTAGCTATAAAGGTAATTAAGATCTGGTATGATTTAAGACAAACACAAGATACGTAATTTTGAGTCATACCTTTTTTTTTTTTTGCCTGACTTGGGAAGCTCAAGCAGCACTTGTGGGGAAAACGCAGGCCCACCTGGAGTTAGGAAGACCTGCGCTGGAACCCTTGTTTCGGGGCTTGCTGGTTTGCTATCTGGTATAAGGTCCCCAACTTGTCTCAGCTCAGTCTCGTCATCTAAAGCAGGGATAGTATCCAGCCTTCCCAGGTTGAGAAAGGGCTCCTGGGGCCCAGGTCACAGTGAAGCTCATTGTTTGTCAGTGAAACCACTACTGACTAATCTCGGGCCACCCTCTGGGGCAGGACGCACTGATAACCACCTGGCCTATTTACAGCAAGGGAGTCCTGTGGAGGACAGTCAGGTCAATGGGAAATCACAGGGGCTGTCGGGGAAATGCACGGGCGGGTGCTCTCGCTCCTCTCCTCCGAGAAGCCCTAGGAGAAGTCCTAATGGATGGTCTCCCCTCTGCTCCCCTGAGCTTTCCTCACTGAGCTTTTTTCACTGCCTCCCTGTGGAAACATGCACAGGAAACACAGCTGAGACCTGAGGATATTTCCACCTGCATATCCTTAACAGGGTCTTTACTGAAATGACATGCTCAGCACCCTGAGCTGCTCTTTCACGTAAGTAAATGATATGAACGGCTAAAATGACACTTGGATTTGTCCTGAAGGGGTAGCGGAAGAAAGATTTTCAATCCTCAAGTGCTGGGAAAGTGCCAGGAAGTCCTAAAACTCCCTGAGAAGCATATTAAGAAAGCATCTTCCCTAAACTCCACCTTTGTGCCCCAATTTCAGCCGTCATCCACAAACTGGCTGTGAGTGTGGCCTGTGTATCACCAAAGGACTTTTGCTTATTTTTAGTAATTTCTGAGGTGTTGGAACCTAAGTCTAAGAGTATTACCCTTTATTTTACGAGACAGATGAAAACTAAAGCAGCCAGAACTTCCATGTCAGAATCTGAGGCAGGTCACAGTCGTACTAGGGAAGGAACCACAGCTCTGGGGCTTCAGATCCACTGTCTCTACTCTCCATCCCTCCCGCCCCCTGACACAGTTCTTCCCAGTTCTCTTAAAGATGCTAAATGCTATCTTTAATTAAAAAAAAATTAAAAGGAAAGCTTTCTATTATGTTTATCTTAAGCATGCGAGTGCAATTTAGTTTAAACACATGATCATCTCCAAGCTATTTGGGCAAGAAATTAAAATGCAAGAATCACATTTGAAACTGTAAATGTGCGCTGAGGTTGTATGTGAAGAGTGGTGAAGAATGACTAAAGAGGGGAGCTATGAGCAAGCAGTTCTAACTCAGTAAAGTGGAATTTCAAAAATAAACCCTGCAGCCAGGAGCAACAAGCACTAAAGCTGGTGTTAGGTTTCCTAAAAATGAACTGGAATGGTTTTAGCTGGAGGTATCTGCTGCTAAGATGCCTCTGGGGTGTTGTAACAGAATAATGGGTCCTTAAAAGGCTAGGGTTTCCTAGGAGAGTCATTTCAAACCAAGCACCAGCAAATACTGTACTTAGAATCCTGCAGTACAACAACTTGTAATGCAAATAGAAAATTTAAAAGATTTGCATTTCAAATAATACAGGAAACAATAAACCATCAAGAGTGTCACCTTAGCTGAACCGGTCAAAAGGAAAACAGATCACTTTGTGAGCCAGTTTTAAAAGAAGGGCCTTTCGGCCCTGGCTGGTGTGGCTCAGTGGACTGAGCACCAGCCTATGAACCCTAAAGTCCCCGGTTTGATTCCCACTCAGGACACATGCCTGGGTTCAGGGACATGTGAGATGCAGCCAACTGATGTTTCTCTCTTACATCAGTGTTTCTCTCCTCTTTTTCCCTTCCTTCCCCTTTCTCTGAAAATAAATAAAATCTTTAAAAAAAATAAAAGGGCCTTTCATGTTGTAGAGGCACCTGATTTAAGGAAGTTACTGGAAGGAGAATGAACTTTCCTTTAGTTCTTTAGAGCTGCAAGTCCTAGATCATCAAAATGTTAATTGGGAATTTAACAGTTCTAAGAAGAGAGGCATTGTGACTCCATAAAAGTTAACAGTCACCTAGTCAAGCTTGGCCTGAGACAGGAGATGCCCATAAGATAGATGTGCGTTATATGGCCTTAATCACACTCCCACAGTTTTTCATCATGTAAAATTGTCTCTCTCATGTGGCACAGAACTTATGTTGGAATTCAATGACACCAGGCAAGTATGAAACATGTGTTCTGAAAGTGGAAAATGGATTTAGTGTTACTTCTTTTAGCATCTGTATTAGGTTATCCTAGTCAAGGCTATACAGCTCACCAAGTAGTCAAATATCAAGAGCATACACTATGAAGAATGTTCATTCTTGTTTATCTATGGAATGTGTAGCCAAAAGTTACATGAGTGAGCAACCCAGTTACTGATAAACTAATTCAGTACACACATACACACACTTCAGCCAGTTTCCTCTTTCACAGGGAATGTTTATAGCTGCTTTACCTAATTTTCAGGATTGGGCACTGAGATTTATAAAATCTCCTTTTAAAATCTTGAATATTTTGGGGAAAAGGACAGATTTATTTTTGAAAGCCACAATTGCATATCTGAAGCATCATTTACTGGCAACAAACCCTCTTCTAAAAAGAGCAGTGAAGTCATTGTGCAAAGCCTGTGGGATCTGCCACACACAATTTCAGAAACAGATGAATGCCCAGAACCCATCACGCTCAAAGATGTTAACCTTGAGGACTGAGCTTCTGGAGCTGTCAGCGCTAGAACTGCTGCAGTACTGGCAGTCTGGATTGGGGGTTCAGCTCCTGCCCCCTTTTCTCTTTCCAAAATGTAGTCTTAAAATTAGATGAATCCTCATCCCTTGGCCATTAACTATTTGAAAGCTGACTGTAAATTTTTCCTTTAGCAGAAATTCCTCATTCCCAAAAATAAAATAAAATGCTAAAAGACTTGCTTAACTTATACCCAAGGAGTGATGATCAAAATGAAGCCATACAAGACCAACAAGCCAACGGCTAACAGGCAAAGGGCACCCAGAAGGGCAGGGATCCTGATGGCCTTGCTGGGGTCCAGGAGGGACAAAGTGAGAGACCCTGAGGGAAGGCCAAGAGGGAACTTCCCTGGTAACAAGGTGCCTAGAGGGAGTGATACTGAGTGGCTACAGCTGGCTCGAGTAAATCTGTGGCCATTTTTATGAACACATGCCACATTGCTCCACAGTTTCCACTGAACAACTGATCCCTTCAATAGAGCACAAGTACAGAGGGGATTTAATACAGAAGATTCTCATCCGGTGCTGGTATTTCTAGGTTGAACAGGAAGTGGCCAACTTTCCTTTGATAGAATCTCGGGAAGTTTGAAATGAGCCATATCAAATATCAATAGGGTGACTCAGTTGTGTGAGTAATCCAGCCTACGGGGGGACTTCAACTCCTTCCTATCTGCAGTGCACTTCCTTCTTTTCAATGCTTCCTGAGCCAATGGCTCCAGGTCTTTTTTAGTTCATCTTCCCTCCCTCACTCTCCTGCAGCATGCAGAAATTAACCTTTGCCACTGTGTCTGCATCTGCACCTGCACACAGGTACCATCTGTCTAGGGATAATTGAATGCATTTTTAAAAAGGCTCCCCTCTAAATGCAGGCAGTATGGGTGTTTGTAATAGAATAATGAGGTTATTTTTCCTGACCTCAGTTTCTTATTGATTAATACATTTCCTTGAGGCCTCACAAATTTATAACTGTGACAAGCTAAGATGCATGCGATGTAAAAATTTGGCCAGGAATTCCAAACCTCATCAATTTAATGTAAAAATGTAATCTGTGCATCACTCAGGCACAACCACAACTATGCAAACTGTCCTAGGTCTGATGCAATGCAGAGAATGATGATCTGGGTGGCAGAAAAACAACTCCCCCTCTCCCCCTAAATTATTCCAAGTTTCTGAATCATTTGTTTAGCTGAGGGTGGTGCGCTACCAGCTACCTCCCCTGATGATGGTCCTGTCTAATTACAGCTCAGTAATATGCACAGCAGGTGCAAACAGCCTGACTTCCAATTTAATTCAGCAATTTCTTTACTAACAGGCAATAATTCCATTCAAGTTGGCGCGGTCACAGTGACCACATCTTCAGTGGGAAACTTAAAAAGTGAATTTGCTTGCTTACAGAAATCACTTTATAAGACCTGAAATAATCTCATCCTTCAAGTATGGTGTTTACATTCCTTTAAAAAGTTACCTCCCACCTCAGAAAATATACACACCACATATGTACACAGGAGTTCACCTACAAACTTTGCAAGGAAAAGATCTGTGTAATGGAAGAACTGAGCCCAGGTCTCCAACAAATTCTACCTTTTCTTCCTCTTCCTCAGAAAGCCCATGAAACATCCTGATGTAGTGAGGACCTCTAAGCGACCTGTATTTCCCTTTACGCGCTCTCATTTCCAAGTTAATTTAGCTGTCTCCACTCCCTTCTATGGTGTCTGGGCACTTCCTTACCTGTTCTATTTTCCACAAGAGCTCCTTCTTTTGCCGCTCCCACTCCTGCCGCTCTCTGTCCAGACGGTCGAGAAGATCCACCTTCTCCCGGTTCCAGTTCTTCTCACTGTGATGCATCTGCCAGCGCAGGTCCATGACCAGGCCATGACTGTCAGCAAGGAGCTTCTGGTGTATCTCCCTCTCTTTCTTGAATGCCCCTCTGCTGTCAGTGGTGGGGTCTGGTTCGCCCAAGTTTTTCTCAGTCTTCTCTTCTAGCTGTTAAGGAGAAAAACCTTAGTCCCTGTCAAGTCTCTTAATAAGAGAGGGAAATGCCAGAACATTAATGTATTATCCCTGGAAACATGTTTAAACCAAGATTTGACCAATCCCATGGAAGGAACGGTTTTCATTTTTATTTATTTTAAAAAAGATTTTATTTATTTATTTTTAGAGAGAAGGAATGGGAGGGAGAAAGATGGGGAGGGAAACATCAATGTGGGAGAGAATCATCAGTCGGCTGCTTCTTGCATGTCCCCAGCTGGGGACTGGGCCCACAATCCAGGCATGTGCTCTGACTCAAATCAACGACCCTTCGTTTTACAGGCTGGTGGTGCTCAACCCACTGAGCCGTACCAGCCAGGGTACCATTTTCATTTTTAAAGTTCTGATTATGAACATTTGACAGAGTCACACGGAATGTCAAGGTTCTTACAGTCTGCCTCTCAGATCTACTTCCTACTGAGTCACCACCATCTCTTGCCTCTTGTTCTGTAAAGTTCCTTGAGGACAGGTATGTGTCTGTCTTATATTCTTAGCCCCAACATGGGACCTAATGATGGGTCAGTGATGGAGCCTAGGCATCTACACTACATGTTTATGTTTGTCAAATACCCAGGAGGTTAAATATCAAAAACAAACAAACAAGCAAAAAAAAAAAAAAAAAAAAGGATTCCCATCTAGACATACCATATTCAAACTTTTGAACATCAATGAGGAAGCCTTGGAGGCAGAAAGAAAAGACAGACAGACAGACACACACACACACACACAGGCACATTGAAATGAATCTTCTCCTTAGAAATTATGCAAATCAGAGGACAATGGAGTGACATCTCTAAAGGGCTGAGGGGGTAAATGGCAATCTTAACAGAATTACATACTCAGCGACAATATCTTTCAAAAACAAAGGAAAAAACACTTTTCAATAAATAAATATAAAAAAATAAAAAACCCCGTTGCCAGCAGAGCTGCACTTCAAGAAATGATAGAGAAAATGTTCAGGCAGAACGTGTATGATACCAACACTCTTCTACACACACACACATACACACACACTCAAAACACTGAAAATGACATAAATAAAACAAATTAAAAAACAAAGAAAATCATTTTTCTCTATTTCTGCTTTTTAAATCACTGAATGTACGAAGCAAACATATTTGCAATGTATCGTGTATTTATAGGACATGAGAAGTAGACCGTATGACTGCAACAGCACAGAGGACAGGCAGAAGGAATTGGATGTGTACTGTCGTTGGAGAACATCAGACATTTTAGTTAAAGGGCAGTGTACATACAGATGTATCTTTTTCCTATTCTAGTTCAGCAAATCTCATGGACCCATGTTAATCCCTTCCATTCTACTGGTTTCTAATCCATTCTCTACCCTGAATCCGAAATAACTTTTTAAAAAGCAAACCAAAATGCTTTAATGCCAAGATAAAATCAGGATTATCATTTCAATTCTTTGACCTTTCTTTTGTCTCGCTCCTGAGTAGGTGCAGCTCCGCAAGCAGGCATGACGTGCTCCCTTCTTCATGCTGTTCCTTTTCTGTCTCAAATACCCTTCCTCTCCTCTTCCATATACCCACTGCTATGCATCCTCTGAGATTCATTCTAAGCGGGACTTTCACAAACAATTCTCCCTAAGGCCTCAAGCCAAGGCTTGTGTCCTGCATGCTCCCCCCTCCCCGCCCCCACCCGCTGACAGCAGCACCACGTGCGGGCCTGGCAGGGTACTTCTCACATGACTACAAAGTATAGCTGTTGTCTGGGTCTCCCACTGCACTGTGAACCTGGTCAGGAAATATCTTACTTGTTGTTGGATCCCTGGCATTTAGAACAAGGTCTGACTTAGGAGTCAACTAAGGAATCACAGATTTGGGAATTGACTCAACATGGCCTTCACTGAGAGAAAATACTTTATTTTCGGTAGAATTCACCTGTTTTGCTTTTGAGCAGAAGAGGGTAAAGATGAGACTATTATAAATGAACCAACATCCACCCACATTCATTGCTTCCTGGGATGCAAATGTTTAAGACACTTCTTAAACAATTTGGGCAGAAGATGAATCTTCTCTATTACCACCTGCCTTCTAGGCTTTGAGTCCTAGCATTATTTCATGATGTTTAATGACTCTCCCTGAGGCTTTATTTGTAGCCAATGTGGGTGGATACAAGGTTTCTCTAAAACAAAGATGAAGTGTTTTGAAACTGGATGGCATCAAAGATTTTGCCTCCTTTCTTCAGCTACATTTAAGGTCTTTGAAAATATTCATTTTTTTTTTCTCCTGCAACCATATTTTTAAATTGGTTTAAAAGCAGCTCAGAGTATTTTTATTCATTTCTCCTCTGCTGCTGACTGTTCAGGCTGTGTTCTAACAGAGAATCTAGTAAGCATCTGCCGCCAGGCAGCAGGCAGGCCTAGTAACTGGGTCAGTGGCTTCGTCATCTGACAATCCTGGCCTGGCACTCCGGTTTTCCTACGCTTTGCAGCCTCCTCTGCAGAGAAGACTGTGTCTCTGCTCTTCCCAGGGCTGTGAGCCTGACAGCGCTGCTTACCTGAGCCAGGTGGCAACACAGGTGAACATGTAGGTACCAGGGGAACTGTTTTCCTTGGACATGACAAGCTCTGTCATCTTTTATTAAGGCCATTTGGAAGATGTCTTCTTTCTGGGTACTTCCCTGTGCCCCCACCCCCACCCTTCAATGCATGACTGAGCCAATTGATATAAAATTTTAATTACTTTATAGTTTGCCTCCGAATAGGGTCTGAAGGATAGATTATCAAATATGCACAGACCTTTCCTCCCTCATCAAGATCAAGGGGCTGGAAGAATCCTGGAGAAATAATCTGAGCAGGTGGACACTGCAGGAAGTGACAGTGCTTTTAGGATTTCCAGCAAGAAAAGGATTCTGAAAATGTAGAAAAGAATGTTTCTGGCTAGGCCTGATTTTCACTACCACGCCAGGGTCTAAAATCTCTCAGCAGGCTCCGCTCTGCTGGCAGCATGTAAGGCAGGCACCCGCTTTCCTCTCCACTTCAGCACTCAAGGCTCTGTGGTCTGAGACCAGCCACTTCTACTGGGCCTTCATTTCCTTTGGTGTAAATAGGACACTGAAATTGATTAGGCCTCTAGATCATGTAGTTGAAGGTCTACAGCTCTTTCCAGTATTTGGAGAAATCTAAAGGAAAGTGTGTATCTACCTTTTTCAGAGATAACTAAACTGCGATCTGCTTTTGCTTCGCTCCTGAGTGGTCAGCACACTCTGATCATTGCCTCATACTTCAGTCCTTTAATGGGGCTAAATACAACCTTGTTCAATATGGAACGGGAAAATCAATGCTACTTCAAAAATGCTGACTGTGTTTAATATTTGGGAGAGGGAATATGAGGGAAAAAAGGTGCCTTGGAAAGGGTGGGGACTTTAAGAAGTGACAGCAGGCAGCTGCTCCTGGTTTTCTCCCCAGAGCCTCTTTCTCTCAGAAGAGAGTCACTGTGGATCCGAGTAACAGTGCCTCCTCTTCGCCTGTCCTGCAGTGGGGGCTGGGGTTCAGGTACCTGTTCCAGGCGGCACTTGAGCACGGCCCACTCCACGTCCCAGGCAGCCTTGTCGCTGGCGTACTGCTGCTGCAGCTGCAGCCGGGCATGCTCGTCTTCCCGCAGCTCCGAGCGCAAGTCCTCCAGCAAGGTCTTCAGCGCGCAGAACAGCCGCTGGTTTTCCACCACCTGTGGGCACACAGGCATAGGCTCTGCCACCGCATATAAGGGCACTCTTTAGGTCAGAAACAGAGAAAAGCCTGGCAATCGAGGTGGTGCTAGCCTTGTTTCCAAGATGCAATGGCCGATGGGCGCAGAGCCAGGGGGTCCCCCTGGCTGCTATCAGGTCCCTGGGCCTGGTCTGCTAAGGGTTTGTTGGAATAGAAGGGAGACCAGGACTTGGGCTGGTGTTCGCAGAACCTGAGACAGAAGAGAGGATGGTGCAGGAGGCCACAGGGAGCCCTGGAGGCCAAAATCACACTCCATGTGACTTCAGACATCGAAATTTCTGACTAGGGATGCAGATATAACAAAATACAAACACTCACCTATGTGTGCTGTCATTTTAATGCCAGCTGTTGCAACAGAGGGAGGAATAAAGGCCTTGTGTTTCTTGTGAACACAGGATGGTCATCCTCTAACTTGTAGTTTACTCAGAGGTCATATATATGACAAACGTTGCCAAGGGGGGACTTTTAAGATTTAATAATTAAAGCTAAAAGAAAACGCTTAACCTGCTTTATAAAGGCTTCCTCATGGCCTCCTGAGGTAGAATCACTGCCCCTCTTTTCTGCTTCACCAACAGCACAAATAGCCACTGCACCTGTTTATCTTGTGCTCCACCCCCTGCCCCCCATCACCACAGTAAGTGCCCGGGGAGAGACAAGGCCTGACCTACCCCAGCATTTCTAGTGTTTTGCACAATGCTCAGCTCGTGTGAAGGGTACAAAGAGGGCTGATTTATGAAAATGGGTGTTACTAATCTGCTTATACCCAACTTAAAAGATTCTATATTTTCTACAACCTGTCCTACCCTTTGAAGGCACATTTCAAAACCATGATTGCTCTCTTAGTACATTTCGGCACAGGCATTTTATCTGAACCTGGATAATAGTCCCATGAGCCCATCTCTTTCAACCAGATAGAAAACACAAAGGTGCATCAGGAGATCTCAGGGCAATCTTGTTTGGTATATTTGTGAGACAAGAGAGATGAAAGCTCTCTCAGTCCTTCTGGATGCAGACTACAGAAAGGCAGGGCCCCTTACTCTCAGGCGGAATTCCCCTACTTGGTACACCAAGGTGAGTGTCCTTTGGCCACCTAGCATGGGATCTACACACACATTACCTCTCCTCCATCATGTGGAGACCAGCTGTGCTTCTAAAACCATTCAGTTAACCCACTAAACACACACATGTACATACGCAAAGATGGCCAATACATATGAGAAAAAAATTAAGATACTTTGGACATATGTTTGGATCTAAATAAAGTTGAATTAGAAAAGAGAAATTCCATAACATGAACAAATTACTGAAAACTCCATAGCTGCCCCCATAATTTATATGAGTAGTTATAATATTAGATACAGTAGACTTTTGATTGAGAAGAAAGGCCTATTTCTTAGCTTTTTTATTTACTGCTCCTTGGTTTTTCTCACCTTGAACACCAATTTTTACTTTTATAGCTCTGAGATGAAAGGCTTATTAAAAGTACAATGCAGTTGACATTTGCAAATCTCAGAAGATAGAGAACCTTCTAGAAATCCTACACATTCTTTCCAACCACCTGGATATAAATAAATTACCTCTATATTCAAAGAGATGCTTTTGAAATCAGAAATTATAATAAATGCAGAATAGTTTCTATAAACTCTACACCAAAAGTATTTAAAAATTATTTAAGTGCAGGTGAGTAAGGTGTTGCAACAATCTTTACAAAAATATACATCATTCTAAGCATAGAATTTGCTGAAAAATTATGTATATTTCATGGTAGATTTCTGTGGTATTTTCATCTTTGGATTTTAAAGTTTAAATATATTACTGCGTTTTAAGTCAAAGTATTTTGAGCATAAAATAATAATTTTGATTCAGTCTTTGGAGTAGTCATTTAATTTACACTGAAGAAAAACCAAAAATCCATATAATAAATTCTTATACGTAATAAATAGCTCCCTGTGAACCCCAAGTTTTGCCTGTGGTCAGCCTGTGGGGTTCTTAATCCTGCACCAAAGAGCTCTGACACGAGGAAAAGCACATCGTGCTTCTCGAAAGCAGGCATTCACGAGATAGTCCTTTTGCAGACTGAACATTTGGAAGTACTTACTCTAGAAGTAACTACTTTTTGGCATTAGCAGATATCAGATTAAATAAAATTTAGTGTTTTCATGTACATCTGGGTCAGAGTAATCAACATAATGTTCTATTATATCAGTATACTAATCATCATGAAATGAGCTCAAAATTACTTTGGGGTGAAGGTGGCCAAGACAGCAAGAGAGCTCAGAGAATCCATGTCATTGATACTTGTCACACTATAATCACCCGGGGGCAGCATGTGTCATGGCAAAAAGCCACATGAGCTCTCTGCCTTGGTGCACAATAGCAAGAGCTGCTTTCTGAAGACCCTGAATGAGCCATTGATTGGCATGGTCCTTTTAAATGACTTTTTCACATACAAAACCCCCAGTAATGATAACTAATACTGTTTCCAATGGGTCAGGGGGTACGCTAAATCACTCATCTACATGACCTTGCATTTCACATCAGTCCTGGGTGTGCACTGCCATGTTCTCCATGTTGCAGAGGAAGGACTACAGCGTGCAGAGATTGCTGAGGCTTCGCCACTAGGATGTGCAAAGCCCAGACTGCAATCCAGGTCTGTCCCTTCCAGGGCTGAGCAATCCAGGCCAGGATAATTTGAATTCTGACATCAACCCTGCCTATATTATTATTATTACTATTATTATTATTATTATTATTTTATTTGCCTTAGAGAAGCCATCTAATTTCTGTGAAATGAATTTCCATCTCTATATCAAGGGAAATAATAATACTAAGCCATCCTGTAAAATACGTAACAGTTACTTCTCTCACTTTTCCTCCAGTGGTGGCCCTTATTGGGCTATGTTTTGGGTAAAAAGATTACCCCAATAAGGTCAAGAATGGAACCAAGACTCTGGTCCACATAAAGGTCTTTAGGTGACTCTTCTTGGATACAGAACTTTGGAATCTTCTGTGTCGGGGGCCTAGCTATGCAGCCTTTCAGCTTATATATCTGTTAGATATAGGTCAATCTCAATGAAAAGAAGACCAACTTCTCAATCTCTTCACGATCAGCTGGCTGGTTTTCTCACAAAGCAGGATAAAATGGCTCTACTATTTCTTCTCCCAAGTCTGAGGGCATTTCAGTCCTTCCAAGCTCATCTCTCTTGGGTGAGGCTTAAAATAACCCCCAGATTGTGCTATAAAGTGTTAACCGTTATAACAAGTTCAAGGTCGGGTTTTAGCCAACAGGACTGATATCCAAGTATACAATAAATGTTATTAATAGAAAGTGAAAAGGAAGTTTATGGAAAAAGTAACATACTAAGCTATTTGTGATACAACACTAACAATTTTACAAAATTATTCTTGCCTATGATTTCTAAAACCCGTGTGTGTTATCACAAGTCTGTGAAAGAGCTGAATTACCATCAACTACTTTGCTTGCATCAAAGCCATTAACTTTCGAAATGGCTTAAATCTAGAGCTGGAACAGATATATTGACCTGCTGCTATAGGCTGACCCACAAAAGCCAGTCACAAAACAGAGGTGATGGCCTCCACTTCCTATCCATTTAGGCTATTAGACATAGACAGGGAGCTCTGGAATGTTCTGGTAGCTGCTCCCGACCTCCAATACACAGTGCATAGTTCCCACCTGATAAATATAAGATGCGGACCTCCTGCAGCATCCAATAAAAGTAACTCCTTTCTCAGCAGGAGTCCCAAAACAAGTCCTTTTCTGTGAGATTAGCCAGAAAGGATACATTTGCACATCCAGCAACATTTAAATAAATAAGTCATTTATCATTCTTACTTTCATTGTTACATTCAGATTAATTTTAAGATTCTTTTCTAAAATCATTATCACCCCAGAGATAAAAGACAAGTCACTGAAGACTAGTCTTGCAAACATGATCTCTGAGGGAAGTTTACAGAGATGATAGACTCATTTATGTACAGAAATCGTTTTTCCTCTGGCTAAGAATACACCAGCTGATCAGACCACATGGGCTCTGTGCCTACAGCCACCATAATTTTCAATGAGAGCTTCCCAATGTGGGTTTATGAAAGAACTAGTGGACATATATTTAATAAATTATAAATCCAGAGATACCAGCCAAAGGCTTCAAAGGAATCAGGGCAGGTCTGATGAAAATCAAGGGGCCAGATGGGAAGAAATCACTCATCAGCAAGATTTAGTTTGTTACATACTTGTATGATATGTTATGCACTTGAAACGTATTTCATAAACTGCCCACTATGGGATTGGGTATAGAGAGTCCTTTCCTTAAATCCCCTTTAGTACTTGTGACTCCAGCAGGGGCTATTTCATCTCCAGCAGGGGCTATTTCCACAGTAACAGAAACAAACAAACAAAAATACACAGCAAAAATAAAATGTTTCATAATCATAAGCTCTGGTCTGGTTCCTTTTGGATAGAGTGGCATGTCTCCCAGGTGAAGATATAAAGTTGCAGTCTGAAGAATAAACCATAGTATAACATGCAAAATTGAAATGTAAACGTTATTAAGGCTCAAGAGGAAAGTTTTCATATTAATCCCCTCGCCCCATCTCAAAGAAAAACCCGAAAAGGAAAACATCAGGGCATGTCGCAGTTCTGACATTCAGGCCTTGTCTGGAAGATGTGCTCCTTCTGTAAGTTTCTGCATTTGGGGCAAAACAGAAAGGTGGGCAATCAGAAAGTGGGCTGCTGGGCAAGTCTAAGAGGTGCAGGGAGTTGAAGGCACTTGGGCTGCAGGAGAAAGGCTGATTTTACTGGGGGTAGCCCCCGAAGGCCTGAGCTTCAGATGACTCCTGGATCCACGACAAAGGCTCAGGGGAGCAGTACCTACTCAGTCCCAAGGCTGGATCTTGAGTGAGACTATTCAGTGACCAGGCCCAGCTGAAGACTACCATGAA